GAGAACTGGAACACTACTTGACGATAACCCGTTGTTATGCGATCAATGGGACTTTGATGGGGACTGTCCGGGGAGTATGTGCCGTTCTGCGAGTCTGGCACAGCACAATCTTCCGGCTAAAAACACGAGAAAACAATAAAAAGTCTTAACGACGAAAAAGTGCTGCGAAGGAGGGTAGAAATATTCTAGAAATTTCAATTTTCAAAATTTCGATTGTCGAACAAATGTTTCTCAGAAATACAAAAAAAACGGCCAATTTGACTCAAAAAGGTGAAAAAGTCAGAACAACAGCAAATATAGTGAAATACAGTCGCACGAGAACGATAAAAACACGAAGCCTCTTATCGTGACGATCACGCACGATAAGACACTTAGCGGAAGAAATTAGTGGGAAAGGAGGCTTCAGTGGGGAAGGAATAATGAGCAGTACCCTCCCGTGCCATGAATTGGGAGTGATAACGACGTTATCTCGAGGAAATCACCGAAGCGGAGGCTCTGCCCCCCAGAGACTGATATATGGTGAAAGACTGTAGTAAACTAACTTTTTAGCTACTCTGATGCCATAAAACTTTGAACTAATACCGGTATTGTTTGATATTTTAGAATATGAGTAGCTAGAAAGAGGAAAGGGTCAATCCCTCTCCAATGAATCTAATATAGAACTTTCACCAAAAACATATTAAAATAGGGTATTCGAGCCGTGTTTTTAATAGCAATCACGTAGTCTGAGGATCCGAAACCCAGCTATGTGGTTGTGTTCGCATGTAAACGAAAGCTGATCAAAAGTCGTTTGACTGATGGCCTAAAAATAATAACTTTTTACTTAGCCCTAAGCAGACCAGAAACCAGAAAAGCAACTGGCAAGGTCGAGACGGTGAAAAACGAGTAGAATTAGGGTAACTGACGCCTGCCAGTCGTTAATAGGTACTTTTTCTACGCTCCGTCGCTGTGTAGTATTTGGGCGAAAGTTACAATTTTAGCGGACCACTGGGAGACTTGACTGGAAGAGGTGACCAGTCAAGTGGGAAAATGGTTCTCAGGAAAGGGACCTGAGAGGTGCTAGAGACGCTAAGGAGATTTTTAGCAGGGAATCAAAGCAAACAGAGTAGGGCACACAGGGGTGTTCTGTTTGGTCAATCGGGTTTTCTTAAAATCCACATTACGTTATAGGAAATAAGTGCAAAATTGGATAAGCGGATACCCACTGTTTTGAGGATACGTTTTACTTGAGCAGAGCTTGGAAACAGGTTCTACGGTTTTCTCTCGAGAGGTTTAGCACCCAACGCTTGAGGTAATTTTCGGCTTAAGTGGGGGGCTAGGTTGGGGGGAGGTTAGAAGGGGGGCTGGTTAAGATAGAGGTTGATGATTAAAAATTGTAAAAAAGGGGGACATAATGTAGTAACTATATAATCGACATCGTCGATTTGGTTACATTAGTAGACCCAGAGTCTGGAACGATCCATCTTTAGACTCAGAACAAGAGTTGCAACGCAAGGACATCCAAATTTAAGATCAAATTAAGGTAGGTAACCTGGTAGAATCGGGTGGGGGGACGGCAATAGACAGTTTTTGGAACCCGAAAGGAGAATACCCCATAAGACCGTTAGTAGGGGGAAGGAAGACGCGTGATCATCAAGTACCAGACATTTTTTTAAAAACAAAAAGACGACTTTGAATTTTGGGTGTACTCGTCCTTCTGTTTTTTATCATTTTTCTCACTTAGATTTTTTACGTTTTCAGATCTAATTTTATTGGCTTCTATCAAATTGGAGATCATAAGACACTTACTAACAAGTAGTGTTTCGACTTGCATCGGATTAATAAAGGGAACGTAATTTGAGGGTGGTTAGTAGGTAAAACTTTTGATTAGTAGGATTGGGTTTTGGGGGTCTTTTTGATACTAGAGCTCAAGAGGTGGTACTGGAGACAAAGATCTAAATGTCCCAACACCCAGGAACAAGAGTCCCGACTGTCCCAACACCAAGGAACAAGAGATCCGACTGTCCCAACACTTGTAAGAGCTGATTCCAATTATATAGCCGTATCGGTTTATTATTAAATGAAATTTTCATTCTGCGTTTTCTTTTTATTGATGATGTTGATATGGATTCCAAAAAACTTTTCTGTAGGTCTATAGGATTATTTTTGCCTATCAAATCTTTTACGTCCTGAAGTTCTTGTTTTGTAGTTGTGTCTGATTCTGAAACTGCATTACGTGTTTTTGAAAATTTTTGTTTAATAGTTTGTTTTTGTTTTGCTACGATTGTCTTTTTCCGTGTTTGTCTTTTTTATCTAATTTATCTTATTGTTTGTTTATGTGGTGTAATAACAAGATCATATCTTTTCTCTTTCATTAAGCAATTGTGTTGTATTATTGTTTATTTACTGCCTAACTTATCTTTTGACATAAGGCTTAGGATGATGGATGCACATTTCGGAGGTTAGAGTTTTTTTTTCGTAAACTGTTAGTGCTCGCGGTTTTTGTGTGGTCATGTTAACTTGGTGCATAAACTGTCGAGGTTGACGGGTTGTAGAGAGAGTATATCAATTCGTTAGAATGATGTTTACTTTCTCGCGACTATGTTTTGTTATAAGAAAAACTTACTTAATCTTACCTAGGGGTTTGATTTCTGATCAAGGGTTGGAGAATAGTAAATCAATCCACAAGGTTAAGGTATAATTAGATCACAAGTAGATCACAAGTAGCCTGGGTCAACTAAGAGGAAGGGCTCAAGTGAAGGATGGGTAACCGAAGTTATTCACTGTTAATCTTTTTTATAATGGTTAGTTTTCTAACAATTTCTAATAATTTTGGGGTTTCTGATAAAAGTTGGGGAGTGAATCGACGTTTGAGGTCGTTAGACAATTTAAATTATAAGGTGGCCAGAACAAGTTTGTTCTGATTGATGATCCAAGGGCAGCCTTGATGATCAGTTGATTCAACTGAAATAAAAGTTCATTTAAAGTTAAATTAAAGATCAAAGGGAAACCTTGACGATCTTTTTTGAAGGAAAGTTTAGATTATCAAAGGGCAAGGCTAGGCCTGGATAAAACATTTTTTATTAATAAAAGATTTAAGTTAAGAAAAGTTATAGATTTAAAACTATTTTAAGGGTTAAAATTTTGATTGATGTTAGTTTTTGAATAAGTTTGGTTATGTTTTAGGTGGTGAAATTTTTTAAAAATGTAACAAACTAACGTTAAACTATCCTAATCACTAGTTTTGGTTTTTTTATTCATTGAAAAATTTAATTTCACAAAAGGTTTCAAAATTAAAGTTCTGCAGATTTTGAAAGAAACGACTTGTTTATCTTTTTATCAGTCTTCATTATTGTTGTATACTGTAGCTAAAAAGCAGCAAGTAGGTTTTTGAAGAAGTCAATTTATTCTTCAAAAAAATAATAATTTTCATGTCAATTAATGAACGTTTAAATTTACTGCATAGAGGATTCTGAACACATATACTCTTTGCGGTTTGCGTCGTACTATCATTTAGTATCTTGGTCCGTAGTTCAATCGATGTTAACACTATCTTTGTTCAATACCTGTTATTTTCGTTTTTTTTGGAATATTGGCGTAGATTCATTGAGACGCAGAAACATATTTATTAAATTGTCTATTCCATCTAACATTTTGTACTTTTGCAATTTTGGTCTTTTTTAATTCTAATTGGCTAAATCTAAGTTAGTTAAGGTCTTGTTCGAGACTTTCGGTTGCACCAAATGAGTTTATGCAAGAGGTAGCTTACTCATAGAGTAATTTCAGATAAGGTACATTGTCTGTTCGTCACCCTATCTTATTTTTTATTTTCGGCCGGATAGATTTGTGCAACTTTTTAGTCTAATACCAATCTTACTCTTTTTCTTTTATCTCCTAGTCTCAATAGATCTAGTGTATACTGGTATTTGCGAGTTGGTCTTGGAGCTTGTCCAAAAGGAGAACAACTGTAGTCTATGATTTATTAAAATTGTTCTGGTGCTGAAACTACAAGTAGTTTCAGCACTACAAGTAATTGTCAGTGTTAGTAATGGAATATGATTGGTTAGTTAGTAATATTTTATAGGGATAGTTTTATAAATACTAGTCCAGAACTGGTCCCACAAGCATGGCTATGGCATCAAATTAACGTGTAGATCAGGGGCGGATTAAGGGGGGACGCTTCCCCCCATCAGGGATTCGACACCCTGCCGACCCAAATAGTCCCCCTTTGTACTATCTTGAGATATCCATTTTTGGTGACGGACCCTAAAATTTTTCGAAAAGCGTCTTCGGCGCCAAAATATACTAATTTTGAAGAGGAAGCGCGAGCCGAGAAAACTCAATTTTTTGGTCAAAATTTTCCTAAAAGTGCCTAAAAACGCCTTTTTTGGCCTGTTTTCTCAAAAGAGGGCCTGTTTGGCCAAAACAGGGTCTATTTAGTGCTTTGGGAGAGCTCGGAAAATCAGTTTAGTCAATCGAAAAAAAACTAAGTGCAGTTAACGATTTAGGGGACCAGTTAACGATTTTTAAATGACCAAAAAGGTTCTACAGATGTTAAGAAGTAATTTTTAACCGTTTATTTTTCTTCATGTGAGAATTTTTTATTCGTTATTTTTTCAGATAGTTTCATCATATGAACGAACCATGCCTGAAATCAGCAAAGTTTGGCAACAATGTGTGAAAAATTGGCAACCACGGGGGTTGTTTTTTAAATGACTGGTTGTGGTGCATACTTTTTGACAATAGATTCTTCAAATCACCAAAGCTTGCAAAATAGTTTAAGTCTTAAAAACGCCGCTTAATCACTACTGTTTACAAAAACGCCATTGTAAACTTTCTAGAATGCGAAAAAGTTTCACAAAATTTTTTTGCAGTCATGGCATATTTTTCCTTTGGCATTTACCAATGGCTCATGCTTTACACGCGGAAGATTTACATCTTTTGCAAATGTATATATTTCAATGACGCCAGTAGATATTTATTATTTATTAACAATTTTTATTAAAACTTGCGATGTTTTTACCATAATATTTGATTTTTGCACTTGTGTTGTAAATTTTTTGCACTGTGAAGATTTTCCGTTGAAAATGGCTGTCCTTGCCAATTTTTCCATTTTCATTTTAATTCTAATTCTCCCATGTGTTTTTGCATCCAATTATTACACGTCCAGTTATGAGTTGCAAATTCTGTTTGAAAAAGAAATCACCTTTACAAATAAATTGAAGGACCTTATGAAAGAGTACCCTGCACTGAAGAAAGATCTTCCGAGGGCTCGCACAATTTTGGCGGAGTAAGTACCGTTTTCTTGTTGGTTGAGTTAATGTTTAGATACTAGTTGGGTATCTAGTTATAATCATTCCTTTTAACATGTCAATCCAATTTGGAGAAGTTTTAAACTCCGGAAATGAACTCTTTAAAAAATTAAAATTCGAAATCTAATTTTTGTTCTTGATTCGGATCGGCTGCAACTCAAATCAAGCATCAGAAGAAACTATTGGTCATAAATGTATAAATATTGCTCCATTTTTTCTACCACCCGAGTAGATCTGTTCTGTGAAAACAGCCTTTCAAACAAACTTGATTACAAGATTAAATATGATTGAACAGGAAGTCAAAAGCGTTCTACACAAAAACAAGAGTACTCGTATCAGGGCAAATCTTTCAATGGGGTCCGACTATCCTCAAAGGTCAACAAAAACTTTTTGAAGAAAAAAACGCGGTAAAAATTTTCACAAGGAAGGAAACTGTTGTAGTTTAATTGTATCATGCTATGTTTAGTAAAAAAACAAACAAACAAATTTAGCGTCTGATGATATGCTATTAAGAGAAAACCTCTTTCCGTATATCAAACTCGAATAATAGATTTAGCTAATTACGCTTAGTCCCAAATTTAGCCCCATTATTACTTTGCAAACATGTGAAAGTTACTTTTTTTTCTAAATTTTAAGTTTAAGCAACAATATTTTTACACTGCTTAAAAAGTGTCACAAAAATGCTGATTTAAGAATCAAAATTTTAATGGAGAAACAAAATCACCTTGAGCACAAATACTCAGTTCATTTCTTTGAATGTCGGAAAAAATGAAGCTTTCAAATTTAAAAACTTCTAGCCAGAAAAGTGATGCTATTATCGATTGATTTTTTTTCCAGCTCAAAGGCAATCAATATTTCTAATTGAAAACGGAAAAGATTTTTGCTAATAATTTTCGTAGTTGCTCTTTTTGATCACTAAAAAGTCAAATACAGTTAAAAAGATAGTAAGGCACAAACAAAATAAAGCAAAAAATTGTTAAATTAGTGTAAAGATGTAGTCGAACGACAAACCAAAACAGAGAACAAGCTTCCGTCAAACACAGTCGAACATATTTTCACTCAATAAAAAATATACTTACCGTTTCAATCCAAAGAAAAATCAGAGAGCACTTAACGAATCGTCAAGTTGAGGCTATCATCTTTTGTCCAGAGTTGAAGATCACGGCGCAGTCAACATGAGATACGAAACAAATAGTCGCGACCGTGGTTAAAGGGCAAAAAAGGCTATTTAGATTGCAAAAATCTATCAGGGGTCTAGATTAAAAGTCGCAGGAATGGAAAAATTGTGCGATTTTTGAAGTCTCGCTAAAGTCCAATCATGACCACAAACAATGTTCACGAAGTAAAGTGCAACAATGAAGATTCCTAATGTAAGAAAATGAGATTCGTTTTTCTTTAAAAAAGATGAAGTCAACGAAGTAAAAAAAAACAATTTCTAATATTAATCAAAATCTTGTTAAAATATAAGTTCCTTAAAATATAATACAAAATTTAAAAAAAAATCTCAAATTTATCGCAGCACGTGCTATGTTTAAAACCTTAATTCTACCGTAGTTTTTTACCTTAATTCAATGTGGATTGATAGAAATAGCTGATTACTCTTTATTAAAACGGAATAAATTGCGCGTTAATCATCCCACAAATGAATGTTTTTTTGATTTTTGAGGCCTCAACAATAATTTTGTTAAACTGTTTGATAATTTTTGTCGATAAATGCTGATTAAAAAATCGAAAAATTACGAGAAAAAAACTACCACGGCATAAACATTTGGTCTTGCTCTTTAAAAAATTTTATCGCAACAATAAAATTTATTTTATTTTTTTTAGCCATAAAAAGTGATGCTATGAAACATTGAATTTTTCAATTCAAAAGCAGTTGCCAGTACTTTCCATAGTTACTTTTTTTGAATCATAATAAATCAAAAATAAAACAAGATTATAGATCACCTATACAATATGGCCAAAAATTAGTTGAGATCATTGTAAAGGTATAATAAAACTCAAAATTCAAACAAAAAAGTGAACTACTTTGCCTCGAACACAGCTGAAAATGTTTGATACTCATTTGAAAATAGCTTTGTTGTTTCGAATCGAAAAAAAACTGTTGAACTTTTACTGGCCAATGTTATTGAAGTTCACGGCATTGTCAATTTGAGACCCCAATTAAACAGTCACGACCAGATTTTAATCGCAAAAAATGCGAACTGTTTTGCAGAAGTCTAGACAAAAAAACCAAAATGTGGAAAGTGGTATAAGTCTGCGCATAAACTTATAAATGTGTAAGTCTAAGTCTAGGGTCGTAGGAATGGATTACCGGCGCGACCTTTTAAATCTCGATAAAAAGCCACAGTTGATCAAACAAAGTAAGATGCAACAAACAATATAAACACTTACGTTAAAAAAAAGAGATCAATATGATTGAAAGTTTGTTTTACCTTAAAAAAAACAGGAAAAAGAATACCAAAATATAAATCCAACTATTGTAATTAAAATCATTTTAAAGGAAAAACTCGGTTTAAATTATTGAAGAAAGTGAAAATTTTATTTCTTATATTATCACCCCACGCGCTATGTATAGTAGAAAATCAAATAATTTCTGTATCTGATTACTTCTTTGTCTGAGAAGTTTTGTTTCCTCAATTCAATTTGGATTGATATAATTGGCTGATTAGATTTATTCAGAAGGAAGTACTTTGCGCATTAATCCATTAACCAACCATTTTGATTTATAGTAGTCAAAGTAGTTCTAACCTCATTTCTACAATAATAGAGCACAAGCTTCCGAAAAAAAAACAAGCTTCCGAAAAAAATGTTCAAATCTACAAAAACTATCCGTCAAAAGCTGCTAATTGAAAAGTCAAATTTTTTACTGTAGAAAAAATTCAGCCCAAGCAAAAATGTTCTATCAAATTCTCGAAGTTTAGAATAATAGGGATATCTTTAAACTTCGAGAGTTTCTAGCCACAGAAATTGATGCTATGAAAAACTGATTTAGTTTCAGTCCAAAGGATTTATTAGTGTTCCGACCTTTTAAATACGGAGAAAGCTTTGTATTCAGATCAGTTTATTTTGTTTTTACATTTTAAAATCTTTTTGTTTTCCACAATAATTGAGGTACCACACATAATCATTGGAATGTGTTGAGTTATATATCATAATGAAACCTTCTAGGCGTGATTTAAATGAAATTAGATTTTTCAAAAACTTGTCCTAGTATCGAGAAAATCAATTTTCAAAATTTTCTTTTTAGTCTGAAAAAAAAAACAGAAACTATTTAACAATTATAGTCTGAACATTCTGTGCTACTGCACAATAATTGCTAACCTTATTTGTTTTTGAAAACGAATAAGTTTTTGCCATTGATTTTCTTAGTCGCTCTTTTGACCAGTAAATAGTCAAATGCAAAGTGAAAAGAAAGTAGAAAACAAACAAAACAAACCCGCATCCAAATTCAGGCTTAAGTAAGCGATTATAATGGATTATTTTGTTGGTTTCTCGAATATTATAGTTGAGTATAATTATCAAAAATAGAAGTCCAAAGGATTCATAATCGATTATAATTGTGATTTTTTCCAAGGGATTGTTATCTCATATAATCGATTATAATTGAATATAATCAATTATAACATTTTTTCAACCTAAATCTGTCACCCTGAAGGTATTTTTCAACTTTATCTTATAAGTTGTTGTTGTTCTGTCAGTAACAACATCTCTCAAAGTGAGATGTTCTGTCACACTTAGGTTTATCTTAACACGAATTTTTGTCACAAAACTAAAGTTTCATGATGATCCTTTGACATTAGCTGAAAGGTTCCCGTGGTAAGTGAAAAAAAAAATGTTCAATCACATCATAAAATTAAAACCTTATGGTTAAAAAAATTTAAAATATGCATCATGAAACAAATGTATTAAAAAAATGAAATAACAGAAAAATGTCATTTTGATTTGATTTGAAAAGTTTAAAATTATTTTTCTCATTTTTTACATGAGCCAACGTCTACGAAAGCATAAAATTTAAGCAATTCAAATGCTTGCATGAAAACAAAATCGTCAAACAAAAAAGATTGTACTGATTATAATCAATCATAATGGATTATTTGTGCAAAACAAACAAAATAGAAATTTGTGTAAATGTAAGCTTTTAGAAAATTATATTCGATTATAATTTTATCGAAAATTAGATAAATTAGTAACCGATTGTAATCGATTAAAATGTTTTATAAATGATTAAACTTTGACTTCAAAAAATGAAATTTCAATTGATTATTAATTGATTAGGATTGATTTTTATCTCAATTTTGGTAAAACTGGAAATAAAATCTTAAAATAATCGAATTATAACGCTTGAAATTGGTTGCGGGAAGCCAAAAAGTAGTTGAGATCAATATCGAGATAAAGTCAAAAAATCAAACAGAAGTGAACAAGCTTGCGTAAAACACAGCCGAACATTATTTTGTTCGTTTTAAAAGAACCTTTTTATCAAATCGACCAAAATTAGAGCGCACTTACCCACACTTTGAACAACACGTCGGTTTTGTCAATCTCAGGCCCAAACTTAATTTCGCCAAAATTCCCCGCATGACATCAAACAAATTCCACGATGTAATACGCAACAACAAAAACTCTAAATGTACAAAAATAAACAAAAACAATATTGAAGAATCATTTTTCCAGGAAAGAAATAAAAAAAACGTTTTTAGATTTTAGATTTTTAGATTTTTAGATTTTGCTTTTGAAACTCCTATTGTTTCACTTTAAAAACACTCATTTCAGGTTGCAAGAAAAGAAGAGAATCATTTCAAATGCATATTTCTGCCGTTTAAAAAAACATTTAGGCATCAAAATTCTATCGTTTTAAAAACGATATCAATGAAATAGAAGATATTCTAGAACAACAAATTGTCCTGATTCCAGTATAAATACATTTTCAATTAAATATATCCTTGGATCCTTAGATTTGATATACTTGAGCAATTTA